GTATATATATATATATATATATATATATATATATATATATATATATAAAAAAAATTTAAAGGTCTGATCCTGCAGCCCTAACAGAAGGAGTAACTGTTACACAGACCAGAAGTCCCATTGACTTCAATGGGGCTACATATGTGAATATGCATTACTCCTTTCAGAAGGGGTTTGCAGGGTCAAGCCCTGGGAATTTAGCATTTTGGGCCACATTTACAAAGACGCAGATAGGCATGTAGTGGGTTTTAGGTGTCTAACTCTCATAGGTTAAAAAACCGGGCATGTGTAGTCTTGAGAAAAGACTGAGGGGGGCCTGATAAGTCTTCAAATATGTTAAGAACTGTTATAAAGAGGAGTGGAACCTCCGTGTCCACTGACTGTAGGACAGGGAGAAGTAGTAATGGGCCTCATCTGCTGCAAAGGCGATTCAGGTTAGATATTAGGGAAAACTTTCTAACTGTAAGGGTAGTTAAGCTCTGGAATAGGTTACTAGGGGAGGTTGTGGAAATCCCAGCATTAGAGGTTTTAAGACAGTGGTCCCCAAAGTTTTACCTCGTGCCCTCTCCCTTACTCCTGTCCGTGTCCCCTTCCCCTGGGGCCAGGAGTGGAGCTGTGGCTCCGGGATGGGGGGACGCAGACAGGAGTAAGGGGGCTGGGGCTGGGAGCCAGGGGCACAGGGCAGGCGTGGGGCTGGCAGCCGGGGCCCTGCCCATTGATTCTAGGCCCTGTTTCTGTTAGATGAGCTCCCTCAATTCCATGGACATCAGTAGGATTTGGGAACACACAGCACCAGGCAGGATCCAGCCCCTAATATGCTGGCAGTTTATGCTGAGAATTTTAATAGGGTCCAGCTGGCTGGCTGTGCCACTGCCACTCCATGCAGTGTCAGGTTGATTTTGAATGGAGCAGCTGCCTTGGCCACTCTCATTTATCAGGTGCTGTGATTATGACCACTAATGGGAAAAGAAAATGGACTCTTAAAACAGCAATTGAACTAATCTTTCTTTCTCTTTACATTTTGATTTTCATCCATTCTTTGCTTTTATCTTTGGCCCCCTCCAAACTAGTGCAGTGTAATTACATCTGATGGGAGACCAGGGTCTGCAACTACAGCAGGTTTTTGAAGTGCTGGTGTCAAATAATAATGTACGTGGTACTATAGTCTCTCTGCAGTGTGTGACCTGCTCCTGTTATAATGACTTTCTGAGACCCTATGTCCACGGGGCAGATTGCATCCTCTGTGTTACATGCTCCAAAGCTGGCCCTAACACATCCTCACTGGAATGTAAAAGTAAAATTCAGATGTATTACTTGTCCACAAGGTAATTGGAGAATTTATAATAGGGCCCAGTGCAAGCAAAAACCCTTGTGCCTAATCAACAGAGAGACGGCGACCTTCCTGCTTCAAAGAAGAAACGGCAAGCAGGGGAGAAGATTATGTATACTTTGGTCTCTGTACCACATGGAAATGACATCGCATCTCTCTTTGAACTGGATGCCACCACTCTTCAGAGAGCTGATTGCCTGGTTCCAAGGTTAAATAATAAAAAAAAATGCTGCATTGATAAGGTTTCTCTCTAGCATTATACTGGTGAGTAAAGCAGAAAAATCAAATATATGCTAGTGTTGTTCTTCAGTTGAAATTGAGGAGACTTCCCAGATAAACAAGAGATGTATAAAACATGATCCTGCTGCTGTGACTAGATAAAATAATTATAAGGATAAAACAAGACTTAAAGGGAGACTGTCAAGATATAAAAACAGTGGTGCAAATGTTGCACAGGTGTAATTGAGAGCAGAACTGGGCCCAGTATGCTGCTTGAAAAAAAGTACCATTAATAAATCTGAGAGAATCATTCCCAGTAAATAATTTATGCAATGAATTTTGCCTTGTTTTCTGTGCATGCACTGCCCATGACAGCATGGTTTCTTGGAATGTATTTGTTGTTCAAATTCATTGAACAAATAGTTTTTGAGGTTTTTACTGCAGAAATTAATTGTGAATATTTGAAATTTGAACAGTATTGCTTAATTGCGATTGGTCAGATAAGTCATAAGGGTTTTTTTTCTGTTCCATGATTGAACGTTCAGTCACTTGGGAGACAAATTCTCCTGTGTGTCAATTTTAAAATTTGGTTTCTGGTAATATTTGTGTATGCAACTTTGAAATTTGTTTTCTGTGCTCCTTTTTCCTAGCACAATTCACTTGCATGAATATTCACAGACTGTGAGCATGAAAAGGGAGACTGAAAACTTGGCCAAAGTGAATTAATGTAAAAAAGTAGAATGAATAGTCACTGAAAAATGTTTGCATTAATTGCCCATCTCTAGTTTCTAACAACACCACAAATTGAAAGAATTAAAAAAAAAAATCTAATTCATGCTGTTTGTGCACTTGATTCTCAGTTTGACTGATATTATAAGTGCTTATTCATGTAAGCAATCTTATTGAAGTCAAGCTTACTCACGTGAGCAAAGGTTTTCAGGATCGAGCTATTAGACTGTGACTATTAATGTGTTGCCATTCTTTGAGGGTCACAACTCTGCAGAGGACTGTTCAAATAAAAGAAAAAACATGTTTTCATACTTCGTTGAAGTTCACAGAAGTATTTCTGTTCACACTAGATTTTAAAACCTTCCCCTCACCATCTTTTCCTTAAATAAAACTTTACTCATGGTCTCTCCATCCTATTGTCTCAAAACATTCTACAGAACAATGAAGTGTGTCGCTTCCATCACTTTTTCTCCAGACCTGTTGTTTTACTGTGTTTGTCTTTAGGAACTCTTATGTTCGGTTGAGACACCTATGCACTAATACTTGGGTGACCAGTACTAGTATTCCTATAGATACAGAAGAAGAGAGGCCAGTGATGTTGAAGGTAAATATTGGTACAAGTGTGCTAACTTTCCAAACTCATTCCTATAATTGTCTGTGAATGATTTAACTTCCCTACATATAAAGATATATAATAATTCAGAGGAAGATAGAGGATTGCTCACCAAAATTAAACTCTGTTGAAAAAACACACTATTTCAGATTGGGACTTGCCAAACGAAAGAAGACAAGGAAGCTTTTGCCATCGTATCGGTTCCTCTGTCTGAGGTCAGAGACTTGGATTTTGCCAATGATGCCAACAAAGTTTTAGCATCCACTGTTAAAAAGCTGGAGAATGGAACAATAACACAAAATGAAAGGAGGTCAGTAATGTGTTTTTTTTTTTTCCAGATCACTTTCATATAAAATGAATATGTATGGTATCCAAACACCACAGTAATGGACACACTAGTAAAATCTAGATAGATCAGTAGGAAGGAAGGTGGTTAGGGTGCTAGCCTGGGGCTTGAGACTGGCTGTGTCACAGGCTCCCTTGATGACCTTGGACAAGTCACTTTATCTCTCCTGTGGCTCACTTCTCTGTCGGTGTAGGCACTGCCCTACCTCACAGGAGTGTTGTGAAGATGAAGGCATTGAAGACTGTGAAGTGCTCAGATACTATGGTAATGGGGGGACAGGACTTAAAATGATGTAAAATAGATAAGGAGAAATAATGTGAGTTTCAAGATTTACCTAGATTATAGAGCAAACTTTAAACTGTGTGCATTCTGCAACATCTGCATCCAATGAGCCTGATTTGCGTTTACATTAAAGACCTTTACCCCACTCTGGCAGTGTAATTTGCACCCCCTTTACGCTGCCAGAATGGTAAATGAGTGTAAATGAGAATCTGGCTCAACATCAACTCCTCTCCCTTCTATCTATAACCCCCTGTCCTCTTTGTCCCTCCTACTTTCCATAGTCTCTTCTAAAGGGTGTTCATAGAGGGTCTGCCCTTTGCATTCATCCATATGTCAACTTCAGTGCTACTGGAGTGTCTACTCTTTACACCCTCCCAGGAATTAAGAGACTTCGTTGCACGTTGCTGCCAAATACATCATACTGCTGGGGGTGTAGTATGTTAGTTATTTTCAACGCTCCATGGAAAAATTAAATATTAGACAGTATCTCTGTGCACTGTTTAATTTGTAACTTTCATTCACAGCTTTTTATTGAAAATGTTAATTTTTTGGTGATTAAAATTAAGCTTCTGTTGACTATTGAATCAAGAGGTTTTTGTCAATAATAAATGGAACAGAAGGTTCAGGAGTAGATAGATAGATAGATTTATCCTATCATGGCATGCTATAATGGCCTAGGCATTGGTAGTTAACCCTAAAGAGCTGACAGGCCACTTCATCACTGACTAGAGTCGGAGAAGCACAAAGTAATTAATTGGGGTGTGATGTAACAACAGTGCGTCTCACTATTAGCCTTGTGACCGTGAAACATTGAGATTCAGCATCATCCGGTAGTGGGGCTATTGCTGTGATATAATGCTGAAAATATTTCATAGTGCTTTCTGGATGCTGGCATTATTGTGTGTCTCTGTGATCTCCTGGGGAAGAGTAGCAGTCCTCATTCTTCCCTTCCCTGTCCCTTTCTGGCTTATAAAGGTAGGGATCCTGCCAGTACCAAACAAGTTGCTCAGCCCTACATCTGCACCCTTCACCTTTTGCTGCTTGGGCAGCACTCGTGTACTGTGAGCCTTGTTCTACTCAGACCAGGTTCCAAACAGGTTGATGTATTCCAGGAGATCTGCATATGGGCTGAGATTTTCAAAGCGGGCTAGGAGATTTAGCACATGGTTCCTCTTGAGAGTAATAGAAGTTGTGTGTTTAAATTCCCTAGTCTGTTCTTTTTTTAAAATCTCAGCTGAATATCCACATGCCTCTAGACCCTATAGTTTAGAAACCTGGGTGTAGGATATATATACTAGGCCAAATTCATCTGACACTTTGGAGGTCTGTGGGTTTAGCTGCAGGCACAATTTAGCCCACTCCTTGTTGAAAGCTTTTATTTTTCTTTCCTCTGCTTTCCCCATGAGCTGGTCACAAACACCCAAGGTTTAGTTACTGAGCCCACATGGGATCTTCTTGGCTTTTTGCAGAGCTGCTCCTGGAAAGCCTGTAGCCCTTCTCAGGGATGTTTGTTAAAGTGGGGTCTTTTGTCCATTTGAAATTCAAAGTTCCATCTATATATGTTCTGCCATATACAACTTACTGTTTCTGTCTGCCTCCTCCAGGATGGAGAAGCCATTTTCTAGTATTAGAAGTACCCCTCCCCTTTTGGTGCTCTTTACCATCACCCTTTCCCTTTAGCAGGGAATGCAAGACGTGGTCTTTTGCAAATCCACCCTTCAGTACCTCCTTGGCTAGTAGATGTACAGAATAGGAGGTGGATGCTTGCATGCTCTTCCACGGCATGCAGTGCTTTCTATCTAAAGTGGCCAGCATTGGTGATTACCTGAAAACCTAAGCTGCATATGAAAACATCTTGCTGCTGTCGCTGGTGTATTTATGTAGATTACTTGTTTCTGGATACTGTCCATCAGTTCAACTTGCTTCCTGTTTTGTTGTGGTTCTTTAATGCTTTGGTAAACATCCTTGTGATGGAGTTAAGCCTCTGCTGATCCAAAGTCTTGAATCCTGAAGCACATATCAGGCTTGGCTTTGCAGTGATTGAGGTTCTGTTGTGCCACAGAAAGCCTGTTCTAAAACGTATGGATTTTTTTTTTTAATGAATCCTAGCAAGTGTTGAACTGTACAGTAAGGATTTCTCTACTCGTTCTAGATTTGTAACCAAGCTGTTAGAAGATCTCATTTTCTTTGTTGCTGATGTGCCTAATAATGGGCAGGAAGTTTTGGATGTGTTGATCACCAAGCCAAACCGGGAAAGACAAAAATTAATGAGGGAACAAAATATATTGGCTCAGGTATGTTTTGGATATTAGCAGTTTATATATGTACATATGGGGGAGCTCCTGAAGGAAGATGGTTGTATAATTAACGAGGCTACATAGTCCTTTGTTAACATCCACTTGGGATTTCTAGGTGTTATTAGCCGCACAGGGCTCACCTATTGCTGTCTAAATGAAAAAAGGAAAGATTTGATGAGGGCACAATTGAATATAAATGGCTATATTCTGTTCTGAGCTATGCCTGTGCAACTCCACTGCATTCTATGGCTATAAGAGAGAGTAAAGTCTTGCCCAAGGATGATAAAGTTGAAACAAATTTCCTACTCTAGTCCCCAGTACTGTAAATGACTCCACATCTGGTGAACCTCTGGATTCTCATGGAGCTGGAAGGACCCTAGTTCATGCTAAGATCTGTGCACTTGTGAATCAGACTTAATATTCTCTTAAAGTAGCTTCTTGAATAAACAATGGTGAAGAGGCTGGAAAAGAGGAATAACAGAATTGTCCTCCCCTTTGACTGTAAATTTATCCACATTTTTTCTGCCCGATGTCGGTGAGTAGATCGATGGGACAATGTCACTGTTTTAATACCTGAGATTGTCGTCCCCCTGCCCATCACATTCAGTCCTATGTAGATGGCAAGAGTGGTGCCCTATTTCTTACCTGGCTTAAGGTACTCCTGCAACATTTAATGTAAATATGAATAGAAATGGCCAACTACAGTCATACAGAAATCTCGGTTTTGTTCTCACCCTCAGTGATTTTAATTCTGAACAGATATTTGGGATCCTCAAAGCTCCTTTTAAGGACAAAGGAGGAGAGGGATCGATGCTGAGACTTGAAGATCTAGGAGACCAGAGATATGCTCCATACAAATACATGTTAAGGCTGTGTTACAGAGTCATCAGACATTCCCAGCAGGACTATAGGAAAAACCAGGTCAGTTGTAGCCAAGATATTTTCCCCCAAATTGTTACATAATTGTATACTCTGGGTCTAACCCTGTGCTCTGTACTTGTATTTGGAATCCCGTTGTATTCCAATGAAACCACTCTTGTAAAAAGGGGCTGGTGGACTGGGCTCTGTGTGCATTAGTATATAGCAAATCAATCATTAAAGCATTGACTTCTCATGCTGAACAATGGTATTTTTGTTTAGGAATTTTTATGAGACCAGTGAACAGCTTTGAAATTTTATGGTTTCATTTCCTGGGCACATGCTCCATACCATTTCTTCCTCTTTATAAGCTCCACAGGTTCAAACATGAGAATGGGACTCCCAGTTTGTGGGTCTCTGCTGTATCACTAAAATTATGCTCTTGGATGTCAGGCTAGAAAGTGGGAGAGTTGCATGGATTTTTGAATTCTTCTCACTGCCAGATTTTTGAAGCAAAGAGTAATAGTGGTCTCGGAAGCAGGACAGATTCAGTCAAGCTGCCCAACCTACCACCGCAGGGTGCCCTTTATGAGGGGGAGAAAGTTCAAACCCACTTGGTCCAATATTTTTATGAACTAGAGTGGAGAATGAGTCAACCCAAGGACTTTGCAGGCATGGAGGACTCAAGATAGTGTTGAAATGCTGTGTATGACTTCTATGGTTCCTTTCTAGAGCCTTTCAAAATATTTCTTGCCTCTAAAAACAAGAAGAATACTTCTTCAAAATAATGTAAATTCCAAATTTTCCTTTTATTTTTTATGCATTTGGAGCTGGGGGAAGGGATTGTAGAAGACTCAGAAGTGTTGGCCACCCCTAAGACAACTAATTTTTTCTTGGAGTACATTATTCAGTGATCCCAGATTTACTTCACTTCATGCCACTAGTAAGAGATGTGGTTTTGAGTATCAGTTGGAAGGATCAATTGAGCTGATCCTAAAAGAAAGATACTGCTTCTTACAGGCTGTTGTACATGTCATCCTGAGGCTTTTTTATTTTTCAGGAATATATTGCTAAGAACTTCTGCATCATGCAGTCCCAGATTGGTTATGATATTCTGGCGGAAGACACCATCACAGCTTTGTTGCACAACAACAGAAAACTACTTGAGAAACACATCACCTCTAAAGAAATAGAGACATTTGTTAACTTACTCAGGAGGAATCGAGAGCCAAGGTTTGAAGTAGCCCACATACCTTTCTTCTGTATTGATACTCTTTTATTCTTGTAACAACTGTGAATCTGCCTTCTATTTGCTTAAATTTTTCTTAGCCCTGGAAGAGGAAAAATAAAATAAACCCTCATTGTGTATAAATTATTACCCTAGAGAGAGCAGAAATCCCTGCAACTCTTGGTTGCACCACCGCTTCCTGTCTGAGTGTAAAATAAATGGAGTGTCTAATGAAAAAAGTAACTTATTTTCCAAATAAGATGTCCAAGTGTAAATATACAGTAATAATGTAAATGTATGAAGTCAATGTACTGAGGGCCAAATTACTTTTATGGGAGCAATTTATAGTACTGCTGGGGACTGTTGCATTGCATCACTATAATTACTTTGCATATATCTGCAGCCATATCACCTGAAGCTGTGATCTCATCATATCCCCCAAGCTAAGCAATGTTGGGCTTGGTCAAAATTAGAAGAGGAGGCCATATTGGTACTCCAATTCCCTGGTTCGTTGTTAGAAGGGAACTGTGCCTTGTAAAGGGTCCTATTGACCTTGTTTATTTAAGATCTCTCGTCACTTTTTGCAAGAGGAAGGATCTTAATTTGATTGGCTGAATTTATTATTTGAATGCAAAACCTTCAGTTGGGCTTATACCCTAGGTGCAAAAACAATTCATACTTTAAAAATACACCTGACAAAACAGTTCAGGATGACCCACTGTTAGCAGTTGGGTCCTGCCCCACAGCATTGACTCATGTGGAAAGTCCCATACGCTTCCATGGCCTGGTTTGCATGAGATGAGGTATGCAGAACTGAGCTCCAAAGTGCACGTGCGCGCGCGCACACACACACTTTTACTTCCTCAGCGTACAATCAGGGTATGTAATTCCCACCTGCCAAGCCTAAGTAATTACTTTCTGCCTACTCAAATTTCCACCGCTTTTTCAATCAGATGCAGTGTTGTTGGTTTTTTCTTTTTTTTTTAGTTTTTGCTATAAACTGTTATGTAATGTTGCTATGCACTGTTACTTCCATTTTAGCAAGTAGCAGGTAATTAACTTCATTTTAATGGTGGAGTAACTGGTTCCTGAATATGATGTACTATTGTATTTAGACCTTTCATTCAAAAATACTTTATGAACACAAACATTCTAGAGTTCAGAAAGCTTTTGGTAATGAAAGTGTAACCCAGGGGTAGTCACTTTATTTTTTGTCAAGATCCACTTTTCTTGGTCAAGGTATAGTCAAAGTCCAGACTCCAGAAAAAATAATAATTGTAATAATAAGTAAATAAAAAGGTTTTGGGGTCTGTTCAAAAGCATCTAGCAGTCCGGATTTGGTCCACAGTCTGCTTATTGACTACCCCGGTGTAACCTATGCTAACACAATGTGGCAATCTCTCCCCCTTTAGTGGCTAGACTACATAGAGAGTTTTATGAACCGGCTACTCGCTTCAGGCTAATGGGCCTGGTCCGGGTGGCAGAGGTTCATGTTTTCAGATAGAGGTCTTGGGTTCATTCCCTGATCCTCACTAAGTGACTGTGAGGCAGAAAGTATTTAAAGTTGCCTTAAACAGGTAGTTGTCGATTACTGGAGCATAGGGGATTCCTTGGATGGCATAAACGCAGCTACACCTGTTTTGTCAGTCACTCCCCCATCCTTGGTATTTAGATTAGGGGACAGTAAGTGGCGGGTGCACCAGGGTGGGATAGGTGGTCCACAGTGCACAGTACTCCTCTGGATCCTGGGCCAGTGATGAAGTCCTTAGTGGAGTAACCCCACTGGCACATCTCAGAGCATCCTTTAGGCTCCTGTAAATTACAATAGGGGCTGTTTGGGTCACCTTTGCCTCACTCGCCCTGAGCTGCAGGGATTGAGAGCTCAGCACAGCTCTGGATTGATCTCAAGATTGATCTTCAGCGGTTAGAGGTTGCAATAATATGAATAAACAATGATCAAGATTTGAATACAGCCTGTATTTAGATAACTCTAGCACTATGGGCTCCCTGAGGCGAATATTTCAGAGATGGGCACTCTAGAAAAACCGAAGAAAGATAGGTAAACAGATTTCCTTTGTGATGCTTCTGTGTAATATTTTGTTATGTTTGCTTTTTTCCTGTCCAGATTCTTGGATTATTTATCAGACCTGTGCGTTTCAAACACAACTGCCATACCGGTAACTCAGGAGCTGATCTGTAAATTTATGCTGAGTCCAGGAAATGCTGACATCCTCATCCAAACCAAGTAAGCAGCTGTAATTGAAACATACTTGTCATTGTTACCTTGCCTTTCTTGCCACATTGGTAACAGGGTTTACGTGTAGCTACCGTGTGCGTTATTTATTTGAAGGCTGGTTTCAATGCAAATAGACAATCCCTTGGAATGCTCCATTATCCCAGAGGATATTGATGAGGAGGAGGTCTGGCTCTACTGGATTGACAGCAATAAGGAACCACATGGCAAAGCTATCAGGCATCTGGCCCAGGAGGCTAAGGAAGGCACAAAGTCTGGATTTAGAAGTCCTTACCTATTACAGGTAAAACAATTTTTTTTACTATTCAGGGAACCTGATGCTACTCCTATTGAAATCAATTTGGGGGGAGGGATAGCTCAGTGGTTTGAGCATTGGCCTGCTAAACCCAGGGTTGTGAGCTCAATCCTTGAGGGGGCCACTTAGGGATCTGGGGCAAAATCAGTACTTGGTCTTGCTAGCGAAGGCAGGGGGCGGGGCTGGGCTGGGCTGGGCTTGATGACTTTTCAGGGTCCCATCCAGTTCTATGAAATAGGTATATTTCCATATATTATATTATATTTATTAATTGTCATTGTGTGAAATTGGAGCAAGGTCAGATCTATGGTCTGTTCAGAAACTGGAGCTAAGTTTGTTTAAAAAAAAATAAAAATCACAATTTATTCAGTATTTTCCAAAGAGTGTTGAGGCTTCAATGCTTGTGATGCATCCCTGTGCTCTCAAAATGCTGTGGTTTCGGCTCCTCCCTTTTCTAGCAAGTGGGATTACACAACAGCTACTTTAGTATACTCTTCT